TATATATATATATATATATATATATATATATATGAATCGCTGTGTCTAAATGTCAAATAGTTAAATGCTCTGATTTGTGTTGCAGGGCTTTCGCAGCCTGGAAGATATCCAAACAAAAGCCCACCTGAGCCACACTCAGAAAATCGGACTTAAGCACTACGATGACTTTCTAGACCGAATGCCTAGAGAAGAGGCGGCAGCGATAGAGAAAGTGGTAATGAATATTAATTTGTGACTCTCAGACTTGTATTATCCTCTGGCAAACATATTTGTTCTTTTAATCACTTCATTGTGTCGAGCAAGGAGCTGAGATAAATCCCCCTAGGACTTTGAGGAATTTAAAAAAATTGTTGCCCTGAAATAAGAAAAAAGTTTGGCTCTGCTGTTCTTAACAGTTTTAATGGGAAATGCAGATTTTCTTTTGAATCCAAAGCATCCCTGAAGGGAACAGTAAATCCTGAGACCTGCCACATCTTAAGTTTGCCAGATAACTCCTAACTCACTCACACACGGTCCATACATCTGAAGGATGCAGATGCTTTCAGATCCTAATACCAAGACTATGTTTTTTACATCCAAGACTAACTGATAGATTGCAGACGATATAGATGGTCAAAGCATGTGTGCTTCCTTCAGCTTAAATGTATATTTAAGGAGCAAACCTCCCAGTATTTGGCTGGAAAAAGATGAAAAACATTATCTGGTTTGGGGGACGGAGAGTCTACAAAATAAAACAATTCTTGAAGTTGTTTTAATAGAATATCAATAAATTTGCAGAATACCTTTTTTGCAACGTGTGATGATATTTCTCAATGTCTTGATGATGATGCACCCTATGACTGACCACCTCTTTACCCTCTAAATCCTTTTGTGCTGTACTAAAGTAAACAACCATCACTTAATATCTAAAGGGGTCCAGAGCACCTCAGTGCAGGGAGATGCATTGAATTTATTCAATGCATTTATTGCAGTTCTTTACAATATGCATGTTTTAAAAAGGAATTTGTGATTGCATTACATAGCCATGTTACTTTGCTCTACTTTATTATTTTGCCAAGCCTATTGTTATTAAATCTCTCTTTTTTGTTTGTTTCAATCAACTGAAAAAAGCTCATTTTATTATAAAAAAAATACATTTTCTTCTTGTTTTTAATGTTTTCAGTTGTTTTTGTTGGGATTACTTGAAAAGTTATGAAGATTTTAATTGAATGCTTACCAGAGGTGCGCCTCATGCCATAAGACCAATTCATTAAATTTTGATAGACATTTTTTAAAAAGGATTCTTTAATATTGTTAAAGCTGCTTCTGTCTCCTTGAAACCCAGTCCGCCTCAGCAGATGGCCGCTCACACTGAGCCTGGTTCTGCTGGAGGTTTCTTCCTGTTAAAATGGAGTTTTTCCTCTCCACTGTCGCTACAAGCATGCTTAGTGTGAGGGATTGCATCCGAGTCAATGAGTGTTTTTCCTTAGAAAACTTTGAATCAGTTTGACTGTGTGATCTGGTGCCTGTTGAAAGGTGCCTTGAGATGACATGTGCTGTGAATTAGCGCTATATAAATAAACTGAATTGGATTGAGATAGGGATATTTAGCAGAACAAGCAATTTCCCTCTAAACTAGAGTGTGCCAGCCTCAACATCGAACTCAAAAAGTCAGAGATGTTATACTCTAGACAAAAACAAAGTAAATGGAGCAATGTTGTGGTTTTTGGCACACTTTCTAAAATGATATTTGAATGGATTTTCGCCAGAGGTGCACCGCATGCCAAGGAACAATTCATTAAAGTTTGGTAATGATCCAGATTATGTGTGAGTTATAGCTATAGCTGTCACAATTTGGGCAAAATTTGCTGCTTCACGGAGGTCTGCGCTCTCGGAGTGCTTTTCTAGTCTTTTATTAGTATCATCACAAAATTCAAAACATCATCATGTGTATGTATGTATGTATGTACCTCACATAAGAATCCAGTAAAATCTAATATAAAACAGGCAAGAAAATATGACATCTGAGTGGATTGCTTTAAGTTATAATATTAGCCAAATGTTGTATCTTGGATTTACCTTTAGTGTGAGCAAAGTTTATATAATTAAATATTTGTCTGTTAGTAATGATTCTACAGACAATCCAAACATGGATTGTCTGTAGAATCAGACAATCCAAACATGCTTGGGAATAGAGGACCACAGAGTATCTGTTTATTGAAAGGCCATTCTTATTTATATTTCTAAAGCACTATTTTTGTATGAATCTAATCTATAAAACCCCTTATTCTCCTTTCTTATATTAATAATAATATTTATTAAAAGCTGTGCAAACCAAGTAGAGGTGTTTGTCAAAAATCAAATGAGAGCTAAGTGGGTATACTTACCTTTCCTCCTTGTCTTATTTGCACTGTGGAGGTGAGGGATGCTGCGCACACTGTTGATGCCAACCTCGTGGCCATGGCATGTGGCTCCTACCGCCGTGGGAAGGCAACGTGTGGAGATGTGGATGTGCTCATTTCTCACCCTGATGGCATTTCCCATAGAGGAGTTTTCAGCAAAGTTTTACAGATTCTGCATGGCAGTGGTGAGTCTTTCATCATAAGGCAAAATATTATATGTTCTCATTTCTTTAAATAGAAAAACCCTAAATCTATATTATTAAAGGGTTTCTAACAGATGACCTGGTGAGCCACGAGGAGAACGGCGAGCAGAAGAAATACATGGGGGTGTGCCGTTTGCTGGGGCCTGGCCGCCGCCACCGCAGGCTGGACATCATCGTGGTGCCATACGACGAGTTTGCTTGCTCGCTCATGTATTTCACTGGCTCGGCCCACTTCAACCGCTCAATGAGAGCACTGGCAAAGACCAAAAACATGAGCTTGTCAGAGCACTCCCTGAACAAGGATGTGGTACGTCAAGGCAGCTTGAAGGTACACGGCGGTACCCCGCTTCCCACGCCGACAGAGAAGGATGTCTTTAGTCTTTTAGGGATACCATACAGACCACCGCAAGAAAGGGACTGGTAAACGCAAGAGACTTGCTTTTAGAAATGGAGAAATAATTAATAAATAATGAATTAATGTTTTTAATGAAAGCTGAATCAGGAATTATACAAAAAGAACTGCTGTTCGCTGTTGAACATAATGTAAATGGGATGTTTTAATTGCTAAATTATTTTGGAGAATAAAAGAATCTGAGCTGCGGCCTTTGATGTTTTACTGTATCGATCTCTGAAACTTCATTGCCAAAATAAAAAAAAAAAAAATATTTTATTATTTTGGTGTTTTTTAAAGCATCTGGCGATCTGACCTTAAATTGTTTGTTTTTTTATACAAAACTAAAGGGATACACGCCCGTTTGTCTTATGGGGTAAAAAGAAAAGTCAGGCTACGTTCACACTGCAAGCCTTGATTCTCAATTACGATTTTTTTGCAAAATCCGATTATTTTGCGTTGCCGTTCATATTTCCAAATATATGCGACTTGTATGTGATCTCCTGTGTGAACTGCATTCATACAACCTAAGTGTCCCGCATGCACAGTAGAGGACGCAATGACGTCATAGGCCAGCGTGCTCTTTTTTTTCTGGAAATAAACATGGATGGTAGCGCCGGCGCGTATCTAGCGATCTTTTCCAACCATAAAAACACAATCTTTTCAATATGGTTAAACATAAATACTGCTCTCCGCATCATCATCTGCCATGGTTGTTGTTTTTCTTGCCGCTTCTGTATAGCAAGACGCAGAATAGTGACCTTCGTCGGGTATTATTGACGTTCAGATCGGAAAAATGCGACCTGGCCGTTCACACAAAGGTCGCATTTGAAAAGATCAGATTCGTATCGGATTTAGGACCACATAGCTAGTGGCCTGGGTCTCATTGGATCTGTGTTGTTCAGCTGCCATGAAAAGATCAGATTTAGGTCACATATGGGCAAAAAAAAATCAGATTTGGGTCACTTCAGGCTGCAGTGTGAAAGTAGCCTATGTCTCTGCAAGTTATCTATGAGCCTTCTGTGAAATCAGAGATGAATAACTATTTTAATAATAAGTAATCCATTTAATTTAGATATTAGTACATGTAAATATGAATTTTATTCAGAATGACAGTGAATAAGATTTTTATCCCAGAACTCCACTACACGTTTAATTTAGACAGCATGGATGATTAAAGATATTTGTCTATGTTTTAGTAAAGGCTGTAGGAAATTATAGTTGGTCTTTATTTAGAAAATATGGATGTTGTGGTTGTTAATTTTCCTTTTGGAACATTGTAGATTGACCCTGAGCTTTTGGCGCCGTCCTCTTTTTGCCACCCCCCTGTGTACATTCTCCCTGGCCACCCTTATTAAATTTTTCTAGCTACGCCTCAGGTTATATACGGAAGAGGATTAGGGCCCCTGAAAAAAAAAAAAAAAAAGTTAACTGATTTTTTTTATTTTATTTCAGTATAGTATGAGGAAAAAGTCAGAATTCTGACTTTTTTTCTCAGAATTCTGACTTTAATCTCAGAATTCTGACTTTTTTCTCAGAATTCTGACTTTAATCTCAGAATTCTGACTTTTTTTATTGTCAGAATTCAGTCAGAATTCTGAGAAAAAAGTCAGAATTCTGAGAAAAAAGTCAGAATTCTGACTTTTTTCCCATGTTAAACTGAAATAAAATTTAAAAATCAGTTTACTTTTTTTTTTTTTCAGTGACCCTAATCCTCTTCCGTTGTTATATGACTCATCCGATTACAGTAGTTTTCATTAGATGAGGATGGCGAACATGACGTGAGATAAATATTTATAAAAATGAAACTTAAGCCAAGAGTAACGAGTAACGTTTGTTTAAAAGTGTAAGGAGTAGAAAGTACAGATAGTTGTTTTAAAATGTAAGGAGTTGAAGTCAGAAGTAGGAAGAAATATAAGTGATGAAGTAAAGTATAGATACCTAAAAAGTGTACTTAAGTACAGTAACGAAGTATTTGTACTTTGTTACTTGACGCCTGTGCTATTGTGTAATAGCTGTAGCAGGCAGCAGCACACCAACCAGTTGCTCCAGCGGCTCTCCTTGTTGACATGCAGGAGTAGGAGGAGGCGCATACGGTGTTTCTCAGTGTAAAGCTAGCAGGGTACTAGTTGTGGACATTCGGGGAGCCACTTTGTAACAACACATGCGTGTGTTTTCCCATCACTGCTTCTTGGAGGAATGAGAGGCGTATGTTCGGCTCTTAGGATGGGATTGTTTTTGCACGCTGTCGGCTCTGTCAGCAGCACCGAGTCCCCGGCAGAGAAGGTAAGCTTTAAACACCAGCTTCTCACATAGAGCTGCTAGCCGTAGAAAAAAATAAACTCGAAAGGTTTAACATATTAGCTACTTCTAAACCTGCTACATCATATAAATAACGAGTTGGTTAGTTTAGTTACTCTTTAGGGAGACTAACTACCGCGAGCGGCTGAACTTAACTTAGCAGTGATTCACCAATTGGCTGCTAGCTGTTAGCTTCTACGGCTAACAGCTAGCAAGACTAAAGCTAAGAAGCTACCGCGGCCTTGCTGCTGTTTATAGTTGAGGGTTTTATACTTTGCCAAGTTTAATTAACAACATTAGCAGCTCTCCAACAGGTAAGGTAGCCACAGAACCCCACAGGCTGTATTTTGAGCCGATAAGACACCTGCTAATCCGTGTTTTTTACTAATATATGTAGAGTTTTCATTTAAAGTTTGACAAAACACTGTTAGATTTCGGTTTCATTGTTGACAATCAGGTCATTACCTTTTCTAGCACCAAAAACTGTCATTAACTTTCTATATTTTCTCTTCGTAGTGGTGGAAAAATACAGGTTTCCTGATTATTTTGTTAATATTTACAGGGCTGTCAACTTTTCACCAAACCTTAGGGTGAGATTTATAAATAGTTTGGACATGAAAACCTGTCAGATCAAAATGCTCTGAGGATAGAGGCAGCTATAGGAGGTTTTCAGAGGATTTAACTGAAACAAAGTGTCAGAATGCGAGATTTTTATTGCACAGTAAATATTACTGAGTAACAATAAGTGATCTGCAATTATGTTGATCATTTTTCTCACAATATACATTATTTTCTACTTTCTGGTGATTTTTTAGAGAATTGAAGTAAAGCAGAATGGGCCCTACTAAAATAATTGCGTCTTAAATATACTTTAAACTAAGAATTTCACAACTTTTTTTATTAATTATTCTTTGCAGTTTAAGTAAAATTAACAATGGGAAACTAATATATTAACACTGGATTACTGGCACTAATACAGGAACCAGTGCAATCGAATGCCATGCAAACATCACTGTGTATGAATATTTGGTAAAAAGGCTAAAGATTAAAAAGTTTCATTATGCTGTTAGTTTTTCTTTCAATTGACAAAACAGCTAATTAATTCAGACCCTATAGGAGACTGTATATTTTATAAAAACTCACCATGACACAAAAGAGCATTTCTCTGGATGTTGAGTTGGCAGCCTTGTATTTATATCAACTACTGAACACATTTTGTTATTAACCTGAAAGACCATGAAAGAATATCAGTTTTGTTTTTCTTTCCCTGGACGATTCTAGACTGGTCCATACGATAATGGTAACAAACTTGTCAACAATTGTTCAGATAAGTCCTCTACATCAAATTGTATACTACGCCTCTACACTGCATTTTACTATGAAGATGTGCTCTCCCATTCTGAACATTTATGAAGTGGAAAAACTTGAGCGTGGCATTCTAAAAAATTAGCAGATTAGTTCACAAGAAGTCTGAAACGGTGAGTTCGTTCAGTGGTTGATTGTTTTATGCACCATCGCAATGAAATTACAGGACCCTCATTGTTGCAGGATATAGTCTGCGTTCAGTATTTTGTTTTATAATCTCTCTTTAGTACAGAGAAAACTATGTGGAGGGAAGCTAAACAAGCAGATTTTTAGAGCACCTTTTCCAGATGTGTGTTATGGTTTTAGGAGGAGCTACAGATTGATTGCATCAGCTGAGCTTTTAAATGACCTTGATGGTGATAAAGATCTCTTTATTCCACTGGAGATCGGATTAACAACTAAGTGTTCAATGAAGGACTCCTTGAGCGCTGACTGACTGCCTTATAGTCTTACATGTTGGATCACTTTTAGCGGTGCAGTTGGGATTTGACAAAGAGCTGCAGACTCTTATCTCCAGACGCAGTATCTGACAATCCCCCAGAGATTTGAAGCTCTCAGCAGTTTTTCATTAAGGTTGATTATATTGTGCTTCAGGCATGGTAACCAAACCTGGGTTTTAATCTGTTTGCCAGGATTAAGAGATGAGGAATGTTTGGTTGTTGCATGTGTGGATGGTATGCAGGGGAATCTCATGCAAATTCTGTTCACTATGTGTATTTTTAAGAACTGGTCATTTGTTGCCTTAAAAGTCTAGACACTTTTCAAAAATAGATTGTATTGATCAGCACTTCATTGGGCTTTTCTGAATGATTTTCAATTTTCCTTTAGATGTTTGGATATCTAAGGTTTTTTTTTTTTTTTAAGATTTGCTGTCCTGTGTGATGCAGGCTTAAAAAGCCCCCTTGTTTAAGTTTGATTTATTTTTGTTTTAAAGCGGATCATTGGATATTTTTAATTGACAATCTGTCTGAGATCTTTAAGTGTTTGAGAAAATTTGACAACATTTGAAAACATCTCCAGAAGCACAGTTAAAAAGATTTCGGTCAGTTTTTCTTGGAATTTAGATACTTTAATTTCTTTATTCAAACCATAAAAACTACATTACATTTTTTAGCCTTTCCTCCATGTTGGGTCTTCATTTTTAAACAGTTTCTTACATCTCTGCCTCTTTATTTTTTTATACATGTGCTGTTAGAGCAAGTTGCTAAATTTAAGTTCCCTGCATTTAATAATAATTTTTACGTTGAGTGTTTTCAGTCAGAGCGAAGTGGCAAAGTGGTTGTGCTTTCTTTTTCTTTATTAAGGTCCGTATGACATAATTTCAATATTGATATTGACAAAATAAAAGCCTTAGAAAAACTGTTAAAGTCCACAGCACATGCATGAATAAACCTATAACAATCATTATGCCCAGGGCCGGCGATTGCTATAGGCGAGATAGGCAATTGCCTAGGGCGACAAATGTGTTGGGGGGCGCCCTCTAGCGTCGCCCTTAGGCTTACTTCCCATTAATCATAGAATTAGAAAAAAAAGCGAATTAAACCGGTTATGAAGCGTCCGTCAGTTTGACTTAACCTTACGTATATATAAATAGCAAAATATGAACAAATAAATATACCACCGTTTTTTTTATTTATTTTTTCACATTTAAGAGAAAATCGGAAAAGATTCTGATCACTTTTCAAGCGCCCTCCAACCCGGAAGTCGTGACGTCAGAATGGGAGCGTTCATTGCGATCTACTGCACTAAATGCGATAGCCAAAACGAGAAATCTGAAAGCAAAATTTCGACTTCAACCGAGCGATTCCTACCAGGAGACCATTCTGATGTATCGGAGGAAGAATATTTGTGTCTGGAGCCTCACATGTTCGACCCAGATGTTTCAGATGAAGAGAAGGCAGCGGACGAACAACAGCGATTCGGACAATGAGTGGAGATTGGACGTCAACAGGTGTTATGCCCAAAAGTGCATGCCTGCCGAAATATGCATCCCCAGTCGCGGGAGCGCGCCTCGCTCTGTTGAACTGCATATCGACGAGGAAAACGGATTAAAATATGTTCAATGGAGCTTAGGTTCTTATATTAATGATATAAAAACGTTTAAAAATACCTCTCGTTGGAAAAAAGTTGTGGTTATTTGGCAGATTAATTTACAAAAGTACGGATTTTTTGAACAACATTAAATCCAAAGATTTTGACCAAGGTACGGCTGATTTATTTGTTGTGGTCTCTTGTTATTTACACACAACACTAAACCGTGATAGCCGACTTGAGTTTGGAGTTTGCAAAGGTTTCTCTTAAGTGGAAAATCAAACGCGCATCTACACAGCACAGCGTTCACAGACCAGTTAGATGCATTCGCTGCGCGTCAGAAAGCTATGGTGCATTCAGGAGCATTGGAACATTTCAAACTTACAAGAATGAGGCATAAAACAGAACTGTATTTTACTGAACTGTATTGTATTTTTTTTTTTTTGTTTGTTTATGCATCTCACTGGTCTGTGAACGCTGTGCTGTGCAGATGCGCGTTTGGGCATAACACCTGGAGATTAGATGAATGGTAGGACAAGTTTTTTCTTTTAACAGTTCAAACATTTTTTTTGTATGTTGACATCATTTTTTTCTCAGTATATATGCAGCAGAATTATGTGCTATATTATTAGCTTGAGAATGGGTAGAAGATACTAATATAAATAAAATATTTTGTAGTGATTATCTGCATTGAGTATTCAAAAGGGATGTACAAATAATCATCAAAATGGGCTTGCACTGATGAGCATCAACCAAGAGGTCTCAAATAAAATCTCATTTGATGATACCATCAACGAATTTGCCATTAGGAAGTCCAGACGAGTCAAATTTTTATGCTGCATCAATTTTGAAGGTGAATATAAAAATACCTGAAAACAACTGATAGATAGAACTACAGGAACTTCAAACTTTTAATTTTGTAATGGTATTCATAAAAGCACTTTTGTTTGTAGAGGGTTAATCCTTTCTTTAATCACTAATCAATGTCAGAAATCAGGGTAAATATACCTGATATATTTTATTTAGAGGAAAATTTTGTTTATCTCATTTCTATTTATGTTCAAATGATTTAATTGAACTGGAACAGAAAATTTAATTTAATGTTTATCAATTACTTTTTTATGTAGTCCTTGGTTGAAGAATTTCTTAAATGTATTATTTTTTATTGTTATTTGGTAATTTCTGAAATTGATTTATTTAATATTTGTTTAATGTGTGTTAAATTTGTTAATTGTCTGAAATAAATTCATTCATTGATTCAATCCAGTTTTTTAGTTATACTTTACCTAAGTGTCCTTACAGATGGTTAAAAGTGTTTTTGCACAGTCCTAACTTTGAGTGTGTAATAAATTATTTAAAATAATAAAAAAGAAAAGGTACTGAAACCTATTCTGGTATTTGTCTATGCATCACTCCATGCTAAGTTACATTTTTTTCTGAATGCTTAAACACAACCTTGATTCTTGTAGCACAATTTCTAAAACTATTAATACTTATAGCAAATCCACTCACTGAGTTCACAAAACTAAAAGAACAAACACTGCTTTGCACTCAATTTGCAATTTTGTAACACACACTTTGCACAACTGTAGGCACAATTCACCACACAGCACTCTTTGTGGAACTGTAAACACAACACAATGAAGCACTAAACAGATGCTGAAAACAGTAGTGGTATTTCGCACGGCAAAAGTGAGGAGGGGGGGGGCGCAAAACTCAATCTCGCCTAGGGCAACCAAAGGGCTAGAACCGGCCCTGATTATGCCAAGTTTATAAAAGTCCTTAAATATGCGTTTGTAGAAATATCTGCTTTAAAAAAAAAAAAAACTATAAAAAACAGTCAATCGGAGACAATTGCTATCATCATATATTATGTTGTATATTGAAACATTAGAAATTTGTTTAAATATTTAGATATTTGTTACATCACAGTTATTGAACCAAATTATATTGCAGTTTTTATCTGTATCAAGTTATTGTTCACTCGAGCCTTAAAATGTTAGAAAGAAAAGTTTAGATTCTTAAATAAATATTTTCTCCTATGTATTTGTTTAGGATCCATTTTCTGCATCTTCAGTACGGCGTTAGCTCCATGTCAAGTTTAGCTGAGTGAAATATACAGCAATACTATTTAATCCCCAGCCACAAAAGGTTTTTGATCTTTTGAAGCTAAACTTCTACATGCAAAAGGAAAAATGTTTACGACACTTCTTAAAATGATGACCATAAAAGTATATCAGATTAACTACATTTGGCGTTATGTTTTGATTGTTTAAAATGGAAGCAGTAAATCTCAATTATTATTTTTTGCTAAATTGTTCTGAACAACATAATGGATTACTAAAATATTAAAATATTAACACTCCAACCGATAAATTAAACTGTTCTGATTTGTTTTCTTTTCCCTGGGTGATTCCAGACTGGTCCATATTTTAGCAGGTATATTTGCAGAATAGGTTTATGATTTGTATGCCCAAATAGTCTAATCTTAAAAAGCATTAGCAGATTTAAAATGATCATATAATCATAATGTTTTAGTTGAAAAATTTTTTTGACACTTCTTAAAATGATGACTATAACACTTTTTTAAAACACATTTTAAACATCTTCCTTTATTTTAAAACACAGTATTGATAGTGAAAAGTAACAATATCCACCATAAACAGTGCTGTCATTGCACAGAAGTAGCTGCTCTGTAATATTTAAGCACCCACAGAGCTTTGGGGTAGATTTGGGTTGATTATCTTAAAGATGGTGTCTCTCTTCTGTATTTTTTTTTTTGTATTCTGTTTGTTAAAGATCTAATCCTTGGAGCTACTGTTCAACTGCTGTAAATACATTTTTTTAGGTGTTCCATGTTATTTTAGCTGCAAAGGTCAAGTAAACTACTTCTGCATAGAAGATCTAACGGAGTCGACGCCTTATTGGTCTCCCTTGTGATAAATTTGTCGTGGACAGTTGAAAGCTGTTCCAACAAACACAACATAGACTCTCTGCAGCTTAAAACATTCATCACAATGACAGCATTCAGTCTTACCAGGTATTCTGAGTCACAGCCAACCTTACACGAAGCTCTGTATCAAATCTCTGAGAGCGAGATCAATATATCAAGCTGAATTAGTCAGGAGGCCTGTCGCAAAGCGTAGAGAAAAACATTGTCCTATTTGTCTGATCAGCCCTTTAAAACCAAGCTAGATGCTTATAGGCCGGCGCTGCAGAACCAGCACAGCCTGAAAGCCTCATGTCTCAGAACACCGGGTCAGGAGAACAGCAGATGTTGTTTCAGCACAGAGAGGCAGAGCATCATGTGATCTTTACACCTTTTCACTGAGTACCTGTGTTTGTTTGTTTTTTTAATATATTTTGTGTAAATGGAAACATCTGATGGTTTAAAACGCAGCTGATAGTTTGGTTTGTTCTGACCTGATACGTCATCTACGATTACCCATCATTCCTGTGTTTCTCCTGTCTATTTCTCTCTCTCTTTCTATGTGTGTCTTACACTCGACTCACTCCTTTCACCACCTTGCTATCATGGAGCGATGCAGCCAGGAGCTTGTTTTCAGCTGCTGCCTGGAAATTTCCGTAAAGCAATCCTTGTTCGGTGTTTGGGCTGGACTGCAGTGGGCTGAGGGCGTGGGGGTGTGTGGGAGTGTTTCAGTGGGTAGGGTTGAAGACGGCAGTGGAAAGTAGGCACAGGCAGAGTGGGTATGTTGAAGAGCTTTTTGACTTTTTCTGCAGGATAATGATTCATTAGATAAAGGGGAGCTGTCTGGATCCTGGATTGTCAAAGACGTACAATGGTAATCTATCAAAACGGATGCTTATCTTTATGTATAACCTCTGATTCCTCAGCAGTAAGATAAGTTTTGACAAAGTCTAGAAGGTTTTCTAAGAAAATCCCATCAGTTCCTATGAAATGCTGTTTTGAACAGTACTGTGTATCAGGGCTCTCTGTGTCGTTCTGTCTTGTTCTTTTACTTTTATAGCTCTTCACCCTCTTTGATAGGTATCAGTAACAGGTTCTGTTTGGTTAACTTCTTACCAGGCTGCAAGTTTGCTGTATTGACAATGAAAACAAATAGCAGACAGTTGAAGGGGAAAAGACTGTAGAGAATTTCTGCTGCAAGTGACCTTATTACAGATGACTCCTCAATGTTTTAGATTTAAATTGTCTGTTACTTCTTGGAGATGACGTGAAGGGCTTTTGTGCTGACAGGGATCAAACCTTTCATGGGATTATGGGTTAGGAAAATTGTTGGATCATTAATCAATTTATCGAATAAAACAATGTTAAACCAACAATACCAAAGCTAAGCTTTTAGAATTGGTGAGTCTTTCAATACATGTGGTCTACCGTTTAGTTTTAGGCATTTCCACACCTAGAAAAGGAGCTTCTAACCTTTGACACCAAATTGAGCGTCATTATTTATGCTGGTACTGAAACAAACTTGCAATTAGAACTTAAAATGTGTTTTTTTTTTTTTTTTTTACATATATTTTTGAAAAGGGGTAGATGTTTATACATCTGCAAATTAGTTGATGATTATTTCAATAATCAATTAATCTGATTGTTTCAGCCCTAGACTGATAACCTCCCGATGAAAAAAAATTTAAACATTGCATTAAAATACTTAAAGAAATATTATAGATGCATTTTCTCACCTTTTTGTTTCGCTGATTTGTCTGAACCTCATTGTGTTTCATGCTGCTAAACATGCTATTTTATATCCGTGTACTTCAATATCTTGTATCAGTTTATGTATCTTCATAGGTACTTACTTGAATTAGTTATGAAGATAAGTAACAAGATTTTATTTTGCATCCAATTTGATATTATCTTATAAAGATATTATATTGCACTTTATATCCATGTATTGTTTGTTCTAATCAAAAAAAGAAACACTGGGAAAATTGATCAAACATGGCTAACTTTCAGAAATATTTATAAATCTGAAGTTGGAGCTGCACAATATGTCGAATATGAGTCATTATGAAGACATCAGGGTTTATAATTTATAGGAACAGTGCTTGGTAAGCTATTCACAGTTGTAATGCATGCATATTCTGCATTTTAAATGATATATTTGGCTATTTGGACAGCTTTCGCTGCCTGCTATGGCCACACCTGGTGGATCTTAGTGGCTGAACTGCTTAAGCTCATGAATAGTGGTAAGGACAGTGTGTTGATGGTAAACAAACAGAAGACTGAGGAAAATGGAGGTTAATCATCTGCTGTCTCTGCAATATTAAACAACAATTTCACAAATGTGTGTTTTGTCAATATGCAAAAGCAGGGGCAAAGAATCACCGGTACAGGTGTTGACTGCTGGATGGGTCAATGCCTCGTTTGAAGGGAAAAATCAAATTAGAAAAGAACAAAACTGCATGAGGTCAAACCAAGCAGCACCGTTTTATAATTAGACCTTCACTAAACACTTATTGTGTTTTGAGAAATAAGAAAGCGGGTTGTTTTTTTTCCCCCTTGCTTCTCAAACTGAATCCAATTTTTAATAACATTTACTGGCAGTGTTTTTCTTACATCATTAGTTTATTATGTTAGCAACACAGTTCTTTAAACAAAGGGGAACAGATGACTAAAGGCACAATAATATGTAAAAGGTCAATAATCAATAATTACAATTCCCTTCAATTCAAAAATACTTTAATAATCCCTAATGGGAAGTTCAGTATCATAACTTCTATCAGGTCTGGTCTGATTGTACTCTACTATTTTAAAGGGCTATTCCCTTCATAGCGAGTCAGATACAGGAATAGGACTTATTAATGGGCGCTCATGGGAGCAGCACTTCATGTTTTGCTCGTGCTCGTCCATCCATCCGTTATACTCCTCTAAAGCCTTCTCCTCCCATGAAAGGGATATCTGTGGAACGCCTCGAAGGAATTTTTTCAGCTTTGGCAGAGGCTTTCTCTTAGACTCAAGGATCAACAGATTAGATTTCCCTGGTCAACGGTCTAGGTCGGTGTGACCACACAATTCCTCCTTTTCTGTTAGATGTAGTATTTTAGGAATGCTTGGAGGGAGTTGAATCACTTCTGGTGCAAGATTTCACTCGACTAAGTGATTCTGTTTATTTTTTTTGCCTTTTATCGCCCAGAAATTCTTAAAAATGAAAAACAACGACCTAAAACAGAGTTGAAGTCCATCAGGTTGGATTGTTCAGACAATTTAGGATTCATGAATATGTTACAAATGGAAACAATGGATTGTGATGGAAAATGGAAAATACTGTTAAGGTATGCAGGTGAAGACAATAGCTGAATTTATACCTGAAGTTGGACAAATCTAAAGGAGACTGTGTTGTGCTTCTGTTTTCGATTATTACCTCTATGTGATGTATGCTTTGGTGTGAATGAATCCTGCTTTCAAAATGTTTTGCTGTTCTCATGTTGCAGAGCTTGATCCACTGTGAAGGCGTCAACAACCATAGCTACTTCTGCGAGTACGGACACTGCTGTGGAGAATCCCAGTGCTGCAGCTATTACTATGAGCTCTGGTGTAAGTTTCCAGCTTCTGCTGGGTCTTTCCTTTTTCTCTTTATTCATGATTTCCTTTAAGAAAATGCTATTTTAGAATCATACTTAGTTCTGCTCACATTACATTTTAAAGACTATGAGACAAATTTTTCCTTATTCTAGCCCTTTAATTAGTGGCAACTTTTTTTGCAAACAGCGGTTGCAGTAAAGTCATGCAACAACGGACTCTTCATTAGCAAGCTTTCAAGGGAATGAAAAAACTGAAACCCTGGAGTCAGACATCTACATACTTGGGGTTATAGCAAAGGAACATCGAAATAAAATTGCAAAATTGGTTGAAAATCATCACATTTTTTTTTTTTGGCGGAATGGTTTAGCCCCTGTTGTAGTAAAGTTCATCACTTCACTCCTTTTTGTTCGAAGCTCCTAAGAGCAGTCATTCTACTTTATAAACTTAATTTGAACTCTTTGGAAATCTCAGTCAAAATCCTGGTTAATAGGAGGAAGTTACACAACCTGAAATGCATTGCTTACCTTAGAGATTTAGTTCTCTTCCCAACACTAAACCCCCACAGAGTGATGCCCCTCTGTCCTCCATCCACTGAAAGGTTGTGGTTTGGTGATGAATAACAAATCAGATTATTTATTAGGTTGGGATTTTATGTGCTATTGCATTATTGAAACGATCAGGATATGATTTTTTTGGCTGTCATTCTAGATTTGCAATACTTGTTATGGGTGTTAAGTTTCTGACAAAACCCACCACTAGATGCACATCCATCCATTGAAAAGGGCTTTTTCTGTTATTTTTGCCCCATAGACTAAATGTGATTAAGAAGACTTTTGGTTTTGTTTTCCATTTTTCTTTTGATGTTAGTTTTTTTCTTTTTTTTTTATTGATTGAATGTATGTTGGGTCAACAATTGCACTGAAAAAACATCCTGCTTAGTGCTGAAAATCTCTAAGATGGTCCAGATGATTTGAAACTTTATTAAAGTGAATCGTTTTGTTTTTTATGCTTCGGAGCTGGACTATCATCCACTCTACAAGTAGATCCAAGTTATAGTTTAGTTTTTGTACATTTTGCTTATATTTTTATATTTTTATTTAGAGCTGCTTGTTAAGTAAACTGTAAACTGACAGTAGTGTTTATTTCGATCACTGAATACGTATACATGTGTATTGTTTGTAAATTGAATAAAGTGTTTTATGCTGCTAAATATTGGTGTTCAAAATTGGGTCCTATGGGTCCACTTTAGTTCTTCGTGCAGTCGAAATAAAGGCCCCTTCCTTGGCTGAATGTCAAGCTCAGCCCACCCTTGTTTGAAGGGCAAAATAAGTCAAATATGTTGCATTCTGGTTATCATAACCAGAATGCACATCTCAGCGGACATGTCCTGTTCAACCAACACCTCCTGCCTGGTCAAGAAGGCTCACCAGCGCCTCTTCTTCCTGAGGACACTGAGGAAGAATCAGCTCCCCTCAACCATCCTGGTGAACTTCTATCGCTGTGCAATAAAAGCATCCTGACCAACTGTGTAACAGTGTGGTACGGAAGCTGTTCTGTTGCAGAGCACAAGGCACTGCAGCAGGTGGTAAAAGCCGCATCACTGGAACTTTACTACCCACCATTGAGCACATCCAGGGGAAACGCTGCCTACATCGAGCCCGAAGCATTCTTAAGGACTCATCCCACCCAGCCCACAGACTGTTTGCTCTCCTGCCCTCCGGCAGGCGTTTCAGGTGCCTCCAGACCAGAACCAGCAGACTAAAGAACAGCTTTTTCCCCAGAGCTGTCTCTTTACTGAACTCTAATCCTCACTGATAGACTCTCCTCACACCTACCTCCATTTTGCTATTCTGTTTTTTGCAAGACTGTAATGTTTACCTGCACTCCTGACTGTTACTATTGTAACAACTATTTACATGCATCTTGCACTACTCACCTTGACTGAATATTGATTTGCACTGCTGACTGTTTATTCACAGTACCAATTGTTTACATATATATTTGCAATAACGTACTTTAACTGTGATTTGCAATTACCTTCCACTGCACTTTAATTTAGATAGCTTCTGTCCAAACTTTATTTATTCATTTTATAGTAAATTCCATCTGTATATTATGCTATTGTACATAACTTTAAAAACCCATTTTATAGTAATATCCACTGGTATATCATATTCGGTAAATATCCAGCTGTAAATTTAGTTCATAACACTAGTTATCTATATATTATATTCATCGGACAAATCTATCAGTAAGATTCTGTTTATAATGGTATTCATCTCTATACTTATTCAGTAGAAACTCATGTCCTGTATTTATGGAACCATTATTTATCCTGGACTTGCTGCTGTGGCACTTCTGGTTAGATCAAAACTGCATTTTGTTGCCTTGTATCTATACCTGTGTAATGACAATAAAGTTGAATCTAATCTAATTAAATGATGCACAAACCAGTGTCCTGAGGGGGGCAGCAATGCGCCTGGAGGCAGCCAGCCACCCTGCATAAGAAGATGTCTTTGATCGCGGTATTAACCTAGCTGCTGTTTAACAACGTCCAAAAAAAAAGTGAATAAAAAGAAAGAAGGTTTGGAGTCGCAACAGATTCAACTTTTTGTCTGCTAGGAAGTTTGTTAGTCGTGGCTGTGGGTGTGAACGCAGGGAGGATCCATCACACTCACCTTCTCACTTATCCAATGTATGCCAGCGTTTTGCCATATTTTCTGCACGTCCGGCATACGCTGGTCTAAATTGTCAAGGTGTGACACGGGCATTAGTTCTAGTGATAACACGGACAGCAGCGTTTTAGATCAGCTACAGCTGTCTGGACTTTTGAGGAAAACCTGTGAAGACACTGTTGCAGAAATCGATTCAACTTAAAAGCATGAAGGTGTTTTTCTATATCTTTCTTGGGTTTAAACATCTTACTGAACACTTACCTTCATGCAACCCAATATGCCAAGAATTGATCCCAGGCTCAACTGTCCTTTTGCCTGCTTCATCCCAAACCCTAAATACATGTGGAAATCGGTACACATACCTGGAAGCCACACACACCACTTATCGGAATAAACATGGCAACAATTCTGTCAAAGACTTGGTCAGGATACTTAAGGGAGTTTTATTACAACCGCCAAACTCCTCATTGAATGACATAATTCTCACTGAAGATACTGGCTGAAAAAAATCAGTTGTTTTTTTTTTGTTCTAAAAAGTTTGTATGAAGTCCAAAAGGTTCTGCTGCATTATTGCTTCATGCTGATCATCCTATTGTTTAATAAATCATCATTAAATCATGGTAAATGTCCCCCATAATTATGAGGAACACAGTCGCCATGCAAAAATGAACTGGACTTCATTTTAACAAACATTTTGTGGCAGTCTGCATATTCTCATTGCAGATGAGAAGCTTGTTATAAAATGATCTTCTTTTTTTATCTGTAAAAATGTTTCTTAGTTTAAAAATCAAAGTAAAACTCTCAGAGTCTGATTTCGGTGTTTTCTGCTTCTTGTCTATTCTGCTATGTGGTTCTTTCATCCTTGTAGTAAAATACCTCACATAGTTCAGTGATGACATGTGACAAATCACTTTATTTCCCACAAACTTTAAACAAAATAATTGCTCTCTGCTGCAACTTTAACTGATGTATATTAGGGGTGGAACGGTTCACAAAATCCACGGTTTGGTTCACAGTTTCGTGGTCACGGTTTTCGGTTCGGTATAAGTTGATTGTTACACCGAAAAATAATAAAAATTATAAAAATTAATCAAAAAGATTTTTTTTATGAAATTAATAAAAAATCAAAAAAATTTATGAATTTTAATTATTTTTAATGTTTTGCGGAAACCATGGTTCATTTCCGCGTGTTTTGCTGCTTTGAATTTAATCATCTCGCGCATGCCCTCTACGATCTCCAAGGAACTCAGAGGGGAGCGGACGGGAGCCACAGCAGAGGCTGTAGGCTTTGCTTTGCGCAGGCGGTCTGGAGCGCAGCGGGGCGCTGATGTAGTATGTGGGATTTCGGGGTTAGCATGACATGTGGGTCATGTTGCTGTTAGCATAAACAAAACGTGTTTCACAATGCTTGCACACTGTTGCACTTTTATCCACAACTTTCTTTCCACCGTCATCGTAGGTCACTCTAAATGCAAAGCGGTCCCATACAGCAGACCTATAAAGTGCAGCTGGCGCGTCTTCCAACTCCTGTTCTTTCCCACTCGCCATACCGACACAATTCTCCACAACAACTGATTTTTTTTCTGCTACACCTGGCTAAGCTGCTTCGCTTCTTCTTCTTCTTGTTTACTACTGGTTGTTGGCTTTGGTCGCAGTACGGCCACCTTCTGCTCTGGAGTGTACACGCTTCGCCTATGAGAAAATGGAGCAGCGCATTACCGAACGCAGCACACGCGAATCGAACTGAGACAGTCGAACCGAACGGTTCGGACGGTTTTTATGAACCGTTCCGTCCCTAATGTATATAGTAGGTTTAAAATTTAAGTAGACTGCTGAGTCCCTTTTTTTGTTATGGAGATGATGCTAAGCTAGAGGGATGGAATAATTTTGAACATTTTTGCCAAACTGAGGACTGTGAGAACATTTGTGAAACAGCATTTCTTAATGAAGAGCAAATTCTGTTTAGATAATGAAAATTATCTTCAGAGTAAAATTGATTCTTTGTTACCAGACATATTTATTCATTAGCATCCCTTTATCTGAATCCTTTAATGTCTTTGAAACTGATGACTCTAGTAGGTCACCTGTTGATCTTCTCAACGCTATTATGTTGCTGAGAACAGTATTTTAATTGCCTCCTGTTTTATTTTGAAAATATTAATCAAAATACTAAAATCTAGACTTTTGTACTAAATATGTTTCTGTTTTTACTTTTCCCTTTTCTCAGGGTTTTGGCTGGTTTGGGCAATCATCTTTATTTTGTGCTTCTGTTGCATCTGCCACCATCGCCGCACAAAACACCGAATGCAGCAGCAGCAACGGCAGCACGAGATCAACCTCATCGCTTACCGTGAAGCACACAACTTCCCCTCTGTGCCCTTTTATTTCAGTAAGATCCACCTCCACATGAGATGTCTGCTCTCAATGACAGCTTTTGTTCTAAACTGAAGGCTGAATGAATCCCGGACAGATGCTTTCTCTGTAGTTCCTCTCTGCTCTTTAAGTTCTTTTCAGCTATTTGCCCTTTTATTTAGCTATGTTACTAACTTGATTTAGTTTTCATCCGCCTGGCTTCAACCTCCACCAAAAAACTCTGTCCATGGACTTTGTGTAGTTTTTACTCAGTGGGGAGGTTTAATTTGATATCATTTATAGTCTAATTGAAAAAAAAGGTAATTATGCCACCATGTAGAAACAAACCCTAAAGGTTCAAGATCACAAGCTACTTTTCTTTTTCCTCTTCTTTTATTATCAGTGCATTGATATAGATTACTGTGGGGCTGAAACAACTAATTGGATTAATCATGATCAATCTATTATTGAAATATTCATCTACTAATCGACTAATTGTTAGCTGGAGTATAGACCGTAAACATACCTTTAGCTGACAGAGCAACCTATGTAGAGCAGTAGTTGTATAAAAATGAAAACACATCTATATATATATATATATATAGTATACAAACCTTTTGCATTAAAGATAAAAAAAATATGTTTTTTTGTCAATATGCTCTATCCAGAACTCCTCAAGTGGAAAAGTTAAGTTAAACCTGGTGAAATTTAATACAAAATCATCTTCAAGGAACCTGTTGCAATCCAATTATTAATCAAATAATCAAGAAAAATAATCAACAGATTAATCAATTTGCAAAATATTTGTTAGTTGCAGCCCTAATTTACTTGCCACTTTATTTGGAGCATATTGCTTGTGTAAGGTTGGACTCATTTGCCTTTATGGATGCTTAAAGGTCTAATATTGTACTACATTTGAAAAAGTATATATACATTAACAATGAATCCTCCAGAGCATTTTTTTGCCGTTTCAGCAGGATAATTCCTCTCAGATTAGGCAGACAGCCTGTTCCAATCACAACAAGCTGTTTTGGCTTTCTACGCCCCTTTCCTCCCAAAGGCCGCATCCCAACAAACCCCTATCATGACAACCAATCAGAATTCCTAATGATCTTAGCACGGAATAATACATTAGATAAAGGCCGACCTTAACCAATAGGCTGCTCCAGTCCACTCTGAGCAGATTATATGTGACAAAATTCCAGCAGCAGATTTGACCAGATAACCGCTTATTGCCATTCATTAATGTTGATTAAAAACAATAATACAAATTTTTCAATTCCATCAGAGATATGGATACATCTCAGTCTTTTCATCTCAATACAGAGCACAGAGCATTTCTTTTAAAAATGGAACAATCCCATTTTTCAAAGGGACGACTGAAACTCTAAATGGCTAACAATTTTCAATAAACAAAAAGTACACCAACACATCATAGTTAGCCTGAGTTGCTACGGCCTCTATCTGCTGAAATGCTGCTAACTAATTTAACACAAGCACACAATCAAAATTATTGCAGAAGATTATCCATCTTATAAAAACCACCAGCTTATCAAAACAGCCAAGGACACAAATATGTTTAAAGGCTATCAGGCTAAAGCACTCTGACAGAGTAAAGTTATTTCCAGCTCTTACCTTGAAAGATTTGTAAGGGACAGTTGATATCGATCCACTCTTCAATTAACCCTGTTGTCTTGGCACCCATGTTGTGAAAACAATCCTCTTTGAAATGTTTAGCAAACAGATGTAAAAAAAAAAAACTCACGAGGTTTTGCAGGTAGATTTACAACTAAATTAAAATCCATCCACTGCGTCTTCAGGGGCTCAGATGAAGGCAGTTAAAAAAAAAGACTTTTGTGACCTTGATGCTGCCAGTAACAGAGTACCTGCTGTGCTTAACTCTTAGCTTAGCCATGTTTGTTAAGATGTTTCATGTTGATGAGCAGAGAGATGGCGCCTGCTAGAGGGCGGGCTCAGATGGGCAAGGAGTGTAGCCTGATAAACCAGACTAAATGTGAGATTAAATGTATAATTTAGTCTGACCCAGATGAATGAGACATTGGAAGATTGTTGCTGAGAACAGCCCGTCGTCTTTCAAACTACGTCTGTGCCTATTAGCCAACGCTCTGACCAATGAGCACAACTGACTATGACATAGTAAGCGAGACAGAAAGCTGGTGGGGGAATGTAAACAAACAGCATGTCGTAAAACGGTAAATACATCCTTAAAAATTAGTAAGCGTAGAGCCTCTTCCTGCTCACGTTTCAACAAAAAACCCCAAGTCTAATCCTTCCAAAACTAATTCCAAAGCTAAGTCAATTGACAACTATTCAATAGTTGTCGCCATCTTCCTTGTTTTGCTTTCTCCAGCGCCGCGCAGCTTTGTTGTCACGCCCTCAAAACCCCGCCCACTTTGCATCCAGAAATTCAAAACGCATCTTTGCGTTGTGATTGGCCCACCAGTTCTAGGGCCTGGGACATTGATCGAGGCTAGACCAAACTCGCAGGCAAAAATGATTTTGGCCGTTGGCAGTTGGGGCTAGTTTACTAGGCTACAAAGAGTGTTTATTTCCCTAAATGACATACAGGGCATGCTTTTAAAACTGAGCATTAACTAAGAGGAGGAACAAGGCAGTAAGAGAGGGGAAAGGGTTATTTTTTTTGTCGTCCCCCCCGCATTTGTGAACCTCATATACAGGCTTCAGGACAAATGTGAATATTAGAAAACGTCTATACAGTACATTTGCAAAATATGAGACCTTTAATTCTTGATTCTATATATTTAACACTGTGCCCAAAATACTCCTTGTGAGATTTTGATACATTTTGGCATCACACCATCACATCCAGTTGCTGCATTTTTGTTATGACAATTTAGCCTCTAATGTCCTCTATTAAGTACTCAGGAGAAGATGGGTATGCTGCATCATTATGTGATGCAGCACTGCCAGACCGGCGGCTAGACCCATACGACATTTGACGGGTGCGGTTGCAGAAGTTTAATCAGCCCCTTAAGCCATTTTTATTCACACTACTGCCCTCTACTTGAAACACTTCTTGTTGTTTTTAGACCCAAAGATGCTGAGCATAGAAGTTTCAGAAAGGTTCTGGGATTTTTTTTACCACATCTATAATGCCATAATCTCTTCACTGTTGATTTGGTGTTTGTGTTAACAAGCAAATAATCAAGAAATACACTATATTGCCAAAAGTATTTGCTCACCTGCCTTGACTCACATATGAGCTTAAGTGACATCCCGTTCCTAATCCATAGGATTCAATATGACGTCGGTCCACCCTTTGCAGCTAGAACAGCTTCAACTCTTCTGGGAAGGCTGTCCACAAGGTTTAGGAGTGTGTTTATGGGAATTTTTGACCATTCTTCCAGAAGCGCATTTGTGAGGTCGCACACTGATGTTGGACGAGAAGGCCTGGCTCTCAGTCTCCGCTCTAATTCATCCCAAAGGTGTTCTATCGGGTTGAGGTCAGGACTCTGTGCAGGCCAGTCAAGTTCATCCACACCAGACTCTGTCATCCATGTCTTTATGGACCTTGCTTTGTGCACTGGTGCACAGTCATGTTGGAAGAGGAAGGGGCCAAGCTCCAAACTGTTCCCACAAAGTTGGGAGCATGGAATTGTCCAAAATGTCTTGGTATGCTGAAGCATTCAGAGTTCCTTTCACTGGAACTAAGGGGCCAAGCCCAGCTCCTGAAAAACAACCTCACACCATAATCCCCCCTCCACCAAACTTTACACTTGGCACAATGCAGTCAGACAAGTACCGTTCTCCTGGCAACCGCCAAACCCAGACCCGTCCATCAGATTGCCAGATGGAGAAGCGCGATTCGTCACTCCAGAGAACGCGTCTCCACTGCTCTAGAGTCCAGTGGCGGCGTGCTTTACACCACCGCATCCGACGCTTTGCATTGCACTTGGTGATGTATGGCTTGGATGCAGCTGCTCGCCCATGGAAACCCATTCCATGAAGCTCTCTGCGCACTGTTCTTGAGCTAATCTGAAGGCCACATGAAGTTTGGAGGTCTGTAGTGATTGACTCTGCAGAAAGTTGGCGACCTCTTCGCACTATGCGCGTCAGCATCCGCTGACCCCGCTCCGTCAGTTTACGTGGCCTACCACTTCGTGGCTGAGTTGCTGTCGTTCCCAAACACTTCCATTTTCTTATAATACAGCTGACAGTTGACTGTGGAATATTTAGGAGCGAGGAAATTTCACGACTGGATTTGTTGCACAGGTGGCATCCTATCACAGTTCCACGCTGGAATTCACTGAGCTCCTGAGAGCGACCCATTCTTTCACAAATGTTTGTAAAAACAGTCTGCATGCCTAGGTGCTTGAATTTATACACCTGTGGCCATGGAAGTGATTGGAACACCTGATTCCAATAATTTGGATGGGTGAGCAAATACTTTTGGCAATATAGTGTATGAAGCTGATGTATTTAGCTATTGTGGAAAATGGTGAAATAACATTTATATGTAAATATTAAACAGTGCAACTCTGACTTAGAGCAGAGTTTGTGAGTTTTATGTGGATTGGCTAAAGCCTTTTAATGAAACTTTATTTCTGTTAGCCAAAGCAGTTTTAATCTCTTTCAGTGACATGGTGTTAATTTAGAAGAAATATCAGCTACTTTAAAAAAGAGTTTATGTATTTTCCCCCAGTGGATATATAGGACTTCTGACTCAGGCAGTGGCTAAGATTTAATGTTTGCTCTCAGATTTATCCAGGGCTTCATACGGCAATCGGGACCTTTCGTCGTCGGCATGCCACAGTTTTCAGGAAACGCTGAGCATTGCTTTCTTGGTCCCATGCCAACATTGCAAAACCTGCTCTCCTTGTGCTGCAGCACAGGGGGGGAAAAAAGTCTGAAATTAGTCGGTCATTTTACACCTCCTGTTGCTGTAGGGATAGATTAAAATAATAATCTGGAAACTTCTAAGGTCTGGAGAAAATCTACACGATGTACAAAAATATGCAGAAGTATTTGCTTTTTCTCCTTTGTTGTCCTGTTTTTCTGCTTGAGGTCAGAGTATGATTATCAAACTTATTTTTATTTGGGGTTAAAAAAATACTGATTTAGACCTAATTGGAGTCAGAGCACTTCAAACACATCAAACCAATAAGAGAACATACAGAAAGCCTGGTCTCTGTAAAGATTTATATTTTTCTACCTAAGCAATCAACTAGTTTGTCGTTGGAACAGTGGTTGTGACACAGAATTTGGAAGTTTTTTCCTTGCCTTTTTTGATTCTTTATTATGTGAAACAGATGGCGAAAGACGTGGTCTTCTAAATCAAATAGGATTTAGATTCATTATCTAAATCATAACATTTATATTATCAACAAAAAATGTTAAATTTGAGATTTTTTCCTCTAGGAATGTTCAGGCTATTTCTCCATCAATATGCTGATGAAGATTCTCAGTCATCCAGGTCACAGTCAATCCGGAATAACCGATTCTGAATGACCAATTCTAGATCAATATCTCTTATTTTATTCACTACAGGCGTCGTTTGCTCTGGAGAAACCATAGGGATGTCCGGATGCAACTCATATTTTGCTCACCAAAGCTTAACAGTTGAAGTAACATTAAAAAACAATATTTCAATTTGCAAATTTACCTGAGGAACAGAGCAGAGCCTTTGCATTTTTGGACTTTTGTCCTTTGGCCAAAAAAAAAAGAATTTCTAGTCTTTGGGACCTTCATAAAATATGGCATCGAAATGAAAAGACATTAAAATGAAATATTTAAGCAACACTTCAGGGTGTCAGCCAGGGATTTAAAGATATGAGCATAAATGTCCTTCATAAGAACAATGCCCCTAAAGAAATAAAAAAGTGAGTTTAGGATGAGATAGAAATGTTCACTCTGTGACATTGAAAATTTAAGGTCAGAGTGGTAAAGTGTGGGAGCAAGATGGCCTTCAAAACCAAACCCAGTTACTACCATTCTGTCAGGGGGGAAAAGCAAAAAAATAAAAAAAAATCTAGCAAACCATTGAGAGCCGCTTGTGGAAGGAAACCAAAAACATTCAACCAAAGTAGTTCAGCTTATTCCCTTTGCCTATCCTGCTGACCATAGTCGAGGAACATTTGCTTTAGTTTAATGTACGCAATTAAAGGAAAACTTACTTTATGTAGAAAACCATTTTTTAAACCCTCAAAGCTGATTTTTTTTCTCTCTCTCTCTCTCCAGGGTTTTTGCCAAACTACCTCCTTCCTGACTATGAGGAGGTGGTGAATCGGCCTCCCACCCCTCCTCCTCCTTACACCGCCTTAAATGCAAACCCATCCTCAGCTGCTTCTGTTTCCATGGCTCCGGAGCAGCAGGCGGGACACTGTCCATCCATCCAGGTCTCTCCTCTGCCCCCTGTCTCTGAAGGTCTGTGCAGCAGGCCTGCAATGGAGGAACCACAGCCTCCCACTTTTGACTTGAGAGCGAAGCCTGATAACAAACCTGTCCAAACGGCCCACGAGCCCAGCATAATCCTTCTGTCAGACAGGCTGAATGTGGAGACGCTCACCAGCCAGGAGAAAAAAACTGGAAGTGGGGAGGACTCCTGTAAGGACCCCCTGCTGAAGGACTTCCCCCTGTCAGAGGGCTGCACTGACGACAAAGAACGCCTCCCCAACGGGAGGAGGCGGCGTTTCACCGGGGACTCCGGGATCGAGGTGTGCGTATGCGGCACCCGTGGGGGCAGCGGTTGTGGTGGAGCCGGAGGGGCAGTTCAGGACAATAAGGAACGAGAGAGCCTGCTGGGGCGCAGCGCAGGGAACGGTAACGAGGAAGAGGATGCAGGCGACTTCTGTGACAGTTGTGGTCATCGAGCCTCCCTGAGTTTGGAGGAGGATCAGGCGCCGGGTGGGCCGGAGAGGAGGGCAGGGCATGGGCTGGCAGGAAACCCACAGATTCCTCAGAATGTAAGCAGCGGCTCACTCAGCCCACCTGTGTGCCTTCTCCTCCATACCATCAGCGAACAGGAGGGCCCGGCCCACAGCTCCGACCCGCAGGGCTGAAACCCATTCCTCCCTCACACTGGACAGTAGAACAGTTTGGTGCTGAGCAGCGTTTGAAGCTCCTTCAGATTGTTTATGAAGGAGCTCATCTTAGAACATCCAGATGAGGGAGCAGCAAAATAACTGATCCAAAGATGGAGACACCTTGCTCTGCTCCATACTGCTCCTAGTAGCCTTAAACAGTGTGTTACGGCTATAAGGTTTGTTAAAGATAGGCAGAATTGGCCCCTTTCCCAGCCTGGTGAAAGCTCTCCTTTCTGCAGTCATCCTGATGTTGGGCTAAAAAGGAGTGAACGGTACCCCTGCTTCCATCAGACTTTAACATGCACAGCAGGAACATAAGGGATGCGCAGGAACGTGAGCGTTCCTACGCATCGATACCGTACGGGACACGGAGAGAAGGCTGTCTGTTGTCACACTTCTGAAGTGCTTTTTTTATTTAACCATTATAAACCACTCTGCCTTCTGTTTGTGTCGCTCTGTCAGCCTTGCAATTGATAGAGTAGTTAATGTGCATAAAAAAAAAAACTAAGAACGAATCAAAGTGTGAACACTTCCTGTTTTGCACATTTTCTCAAAGTGAAATATTTTGCAAAATAAAATGAAACCAAATATGATAGGTTTAGTTTCTTCTAATTTAGCCTGGAGTTGCTGTTTGTGTTCAATGTGTTTTCATGGCAAGGTGTTAGGATGAATAGATCTGTTTACCGTAAATTAGGTTTTTGGTAGAAAATGTAACATTTACTTGGTATGCAATCATTTTCCATCTGAATTAGCTGAATGTATGTAGTCGGTGCCTAACTAAATGCAGTGTCATTTTAAAAAACAATGATAAGCTTTTGTGAAACTGACAAGCTCTGGTACAGCAGGTACTGATATGGAGAGCATTAAAGGTATAGTGGAGGGTTTTTGCTAATTTTTGAGAAGCTCCAGAGGGCGTGCACTAGCACATTTCTCCTTGTGCACGCTGTATTTAAAAGTTGCTTTTTGCGAAGTTTATACAAGCTTACTTTTTCAAAAGATTTGCAATTTTTCTACAGTCAGACTTACGGTAAGTGAAAATGGGCACGAGCACGTAGTAGACAATTAGGAGGACCACTTATTTTGATGATCCACCCGGAAAAAGAATCCCCTCCACTATAACTTTAAGGTTCAGAGAGATTAAAAACTGAAATAGGCAACATCAGACTTAGCATGATGATTCAGTCACTTTAACAGATTACTACCTTCACCAGCTCCCAAATGACAACATAAATTCCAACTTAAAACCTTTTATATCAAGATTAGCTTTATAAACAACTTTAGACAAGTTGACAAATAGTTTTTCTTTTAAAACAGATTTAACTGTTTTAATTTAACTTTTCTTGTGACCTTTTGCAGTTGCACTGTTCCGTTAAAGAGAGACAACCATGTAAACCAAACTGAACTGATTTGGTTAGTTAACAATGTATGTTTCAATAACGCTGGACAAACTAACTTAAGGGTTGCCGTGTTGGTTTTTAATTTTAATGATAATTTCTAAGTATTAAACTTTTTTTACCTTACAAGAGCTTTCACTGGATTTCTGAGATTTGTAGTGACAGACCAACATAACTTGGTGCATAGTTTTCTATTTTATTATCAAATAAGATTCTGAAAAGTGTGGAATATAATTTGCCCTCCTGCTAAGCTAACTGTTTAGTTACCTTTCACTCTGGTTACATTTTCCTGTTTTGGACATTAGGGATATCTAATATTTGTCCCATTAACCCATGAGTTTATGGATAAGCCTCCTCAGCTTCCCCATCTGATTAAGGTTTGGGCGTTGAGCCATTCTGTTATTAGTATATACATCTGGCTCTCCTCTTCAGCCTGGAACATTTTTTTTCCTCCAGCATCAGTTGGTGTTGAACATCACCCATCCTCCTTTGAACCTGATCAGATTCCTCCATTCTTCCCGGAGAAGCGCACCCCCACAGCATGATGCTGTCATTACCATGTTTGACCGTGGGAGTGACGTGTACAGGGTCAACTTTTAGTTTCCATGACGCAATAGGGAGTTACAAATTTCCATTTTTGTGTCATCGGAGTTTCCAACCCTGCTCCTCAAGTATTCATTCCCTGCATGTTTAACATGCGTGTCTCTCGACCTGTTTCAAACGGTTACATCACCACCTCAGCAGCCAACATGTGCTACAGCTGCCTGTTAATCATTGATTCATATAAGCTAGGTGTGCAGCAGCAGCAAGACTGCAGTCTGGATGTCCAGCTTTCTTTAGGCCAGTTTTCCTTAAAAGTCAGATTTGCAGAGTTCAAGGAGTTAACCAGTGGAACTCTGCAGCTCTTCCAGAGTCGCTAAGCTCTTCTCTCTCTCCTTATCAGCCAATTCAGGCAGCTACTCTCATTTTATACCTTGTAACTTAACTCCACCTCTTTCTCCTTCATGATACTGTTTATCACCAATGTTCTATAATAGAGTTTACTGAACAACTGGAATAATACTGCGATTTTCTTATAGGAAAATGTTCGGTCTATAAATTTAGGGCCATCAAAGCTAAATGAGGGTAAAAACACAAAATTTCAGATCTTTATTTGTAAAAATTAGACTTTTTCTTCCACTTCCACCAGTCTGTAACATAAAATCCAAGTTAAATTCACACAAATCTGATTGTATTGATAAAACAAACAGAAAGGCGGCAGGGGTGTCTTTCTCATAGGATGCCATCCATACCCTAATTACTGAAGATGTAGCTAATGGAGTTTTTTTAACCCAGGATTTGTTTAACAGATTTATTTTTTTAGTTGCCCAGCTTCACTAAAACCACAACCATTTGTAACCTGGAGAAGGACACTGTAAGACTTTTCCTTCCTGCACCTGCAGTGATCCGCACAGTACAGCCTTTCTGAAGCACAAAAGTCTTAAACGACTGGTCAAACAGATTTATTTTACTATAGATGCGTACTGAAAGCACCTTGCAGGAGGTCGTGTCCCTGCGTTCTGCAGCACAGGGTTCCAGTGCAATGTGAAACCAGTAAGACAATTATGCATCATGACATGGACACACTCTAGTTCTTTAAACATTAGTATTTTTTGTGAGTGAAAAATTAATCATGTACTTTTGTCTCAAAAGAAGAGCTATTTTCATATCTGCCTATTCATGTAAAGATTATAGATATATAAAGATTATAAAACCACTTTATTACTTACAAACATCTGTGATGTATCGTAGAACCGTTTAGTTGCCTTCTTTTCTGTTTCCTCATGGACATATTTTACTATTATCATGGCTAATGCTCTTTTCAGGTTGGATGAATGGTACGTTTGACCAACGATGAGCGTTTGTTTGGAGATCAGGGCAGTTTTGCCAAAGATGCTTTTCTGACCCAAGTGTGTTCGTTTTGCACATGTTCTGTGAATGTTCTGATCATAAGCCATTTATTTCAGCATCTAAGATGAATGTATATTCAATAAATATACTAAATTTACAGTCTATGTTGTCAGAGTGTCTTCCTCTGCAGCTTAAGTTGAATAACTTGGAGAAACAGTCGATGCAGTAATAGTGAATCTGATGTTTTCCACATCGCTCACTGATGCCTCCTTGAATTGTCAGATTTGCAAAAGCTTAAAGTAACCTTTGACACTCAATGATCTCAGGAAGCTATTTGCTGTCATTTTCAAGCGTGGCCTCACTGTGCATATACATTTCTCTTTAGAATGTAGGCCAGCGGAGTTGTTGGAACTCCCTTATCTAATCGGCTCTGATAAATATGATGGAAAGATCGATAAAAAAAGGGAAAATTCCTTTAAATAAATACACTAGTTTATACTATGAATTTATGGACATTTCTTATAGTGTAGGATAAATTACAAAGACCTCGAATGATGGTTAGATTTCCTGCAAACACTAATCAACCTTAAAATATAAAGTACACATTTATACAACAGGAATAGCAGGTGATGAATATATGCTGCATGGGTGATGTAGTTATAAATTATTTATTACAAAGGACTTGTTTATTATATCTAAATCTGCTGAACCTAAAGATGGTTTAAAAAAAGTTAGACATTTTGCAATAAAACGATTGAAATTTATCTAAAAACTGCAAACATAGAATGGACCCTGAGTTCAGTGCAGGTGATATGAGAGAAGAACACTGGCAAAAAATAAATTACACCACTGTTTGATGGTCTCATCCGTGGAGCTGCTTAAAAGCTTTTAAAGTAAAAGGTTGCTGCACCCTTTGTGCTCATAGGAGCGTTATCTTAAATCTTTCCTTCCAGCAGCTGTTAGGCTTTATAAACATTACAGCTCACATCAGATTCAATATTTTTGCTTTTATCCTTGCTCTTTAATTCATTTATACTTTATTCATTCCCAAAGGCAAATTTGGACAAAAACACACAGAAAGACAATTCACAGATATTGTACATGGGGGGAGGTGGTGTCCGAGGCCTGGCTGCCGTAAGGGCGTAAAGGCGCTGCATTTGCAGTTAGAAAAACAAAAGAAAGGGATCACAATGGGTGAGGGGAGGAAAGAAAATCATATTTCCTACTTTATCTTTAGCAGAATACAGTTTGAGATTACAAAATACATCAACACATAAGCAACGCAGATACAACATCCTGCAGGATGAAGATTGATGGAGGAGGATGAGAAGTTTGTGTATTATATCTGAGCGTCAGTGTGGTATTGGAACAGCTATTTTACATTTATTGTGTGAATATGCAGTTGACCTTTATGCACAAATGCATCATTTTTCTTTAACATTTTTTTATAAAATGTGCTCTTTTTGAGATTAATTTATATCTTGGTAGGCAATTTGTGGTAATCGTACACTTTTTCTTTTCATGGTGTAAACTTTTCTCTTCAATGCCCACTTCACTCACCTCAATTTCAACACTGTGAGTTAATAAAGGATTATTCTCTTCTATGAGCAGGTTCTCTCTGGGCGCTCTGACTCCTCCTTGCAGTGCCTCATTAATCAGTATCTATAAATTACATGATGTGACTGAAATACGTGCCTAATTTTACCTTTGTTACTCTTGACCAGTGAAGATGCCCTCCACCACAAAATAATAGCATTCAAATCAAGGAAAATAACATCTTAAATCTCCAGAGCAGGAAAAAATAGCTCCTCATAATTTGAAGTTTAAAGGTATAGTGGAGGATTTTCTTGAATTGTTGAATTCCCACTATCTCCACTTGTTGGATATACATGCACAACACTGTACACACTGCTGAGAGGGAATGCCTATTAAATGTGTGTGACGGCGATTTCAACTCTGCAAATCTTTAAAAAAAAAAGCCTGATTTCTGCTCAATCAGGATACAAACACTGATCTTTTATATTGTTGCGGCTGCAGTGGCTTTCTGCCCTTTTCCTTGCAGGGTTCTGGAGGCAGGTCTTCTGCAGGTGATCTGTTTTGCCCTAAATGGTGCTTGTCTACTTTAAAAGCTGTCATACAAGCAGCAGAGAGGAGGCTTTCCTCTCTTACCTCCTCAGAACCCCTGTCCTAGTGTTGGGTTTTGTTAGGTTTGTTTGTACGGTATTTACTTATTTCTGTTTAGATATTGGTTTTGCATTAAGCCATTTCCTATTCCCCATTTTATTTATCCCTTTTTAGGTATTGTTTCT